TTAAGGAAGTTATGATCTGAAATAAAACTGATCTGTTTTGATATTGTGGAGTCCTGTAGCTTAGTGGCTGGAACACTCGCCTTGCAAGCGAGAAGACCTGGGTTGGATTCCAGGGCAGGGCAAAATGTTGGGCAAGTTTCCTTACTCCACACGCCTCGGTTTACCTAACAGTTGTTAGTTGTTACCGGTTGTTAGTGGATTGGCTGATCGCTTTTCTGGAGGTAATAATCCCTTCAAATTTTTTTTTTAAATATTGTCACTCAATCCATGACTGTTTTGTAGACACTGCTGTGAGCAATTGGCTGCCAAGTTTCGCCCACAAAATATACAGTCAAATCACTTTACAGTATATTTTGTGAAGCGCTTTCAAACGTCTCAAATCCATGAAAAGGCACTTGATCAGATGCAAGGATTTTTATTATTATTATTTCAATATTGATCAATATAAGAATTCTATAATCCTTGCATTTGACATAGCTCATTTCATGTCAGGAGAATTTCTGAATGTGCTTCATATGATTTACTCTAGAGTGTATTGACTGTTTATTTGTAGGCAATTTTTTTTTAAACAAACCTATTCTGGCAGGTGCACAATAGTTCAACCAAAATACTTTGGACAGTTACCCAGATAGTTCACTATTAATGTCAGCTCATAACCTAGAATACTCTATAATGTTCTTTGCTCATTGCAAAAACACCTCAACTATCATGTGGAGAATAATGTTGCGAGTAGGATGAAAAGAATTAGGAAACAAAAGCATTGTAACTGGTTTCACATTCATATTGACAAAAGAACACTGGTACCTTTTTCAAAGGAAATAAAACTCAATCATTGCTTAAAGACAGAACAAGATCAAGGCAACTGGAGACTGATCATTACCGTCCACAGCAGATGTTATAAAAGTGCTGCTCGTGTCATGTCGATAACACTCACCAGATGTCGCCAAAACTTTGTCATTGATATTCAAAGTATGCACCACCCTGTGGTACAATTCAGACACTACACCACAAGGCAGCTGAGCCCTGTGATAATCAATTACATTTAATACTTCTGCCACAACTACCAATAACCAAGAATTCTCCAAATACAGTATAATTCATTAGAATACAGATTTTTTTGGTTATAATCACATAGCCGATCCACTGAATTTGGCTGTTAGAATAATTCAAACAAACAAATAAATACTCATTCATTGAACTCTCATTCAAATCCCACACATCATTGTCAATGCAATTAGATTACGAACACCCATCATTCAATACAGGTCACGGCTATTACAGCTCATTTAATTTCATCAAATCAAAGGAATAAAATGATCAGAATCGAGCAGGCAAAATAATCAATTCATTAAAGTTCCACAAATGTATCAAGTTTATACATTTGGATGCTGAGTTTCTACGCTGTGGGTTGTGCTTGCTTGTGCGCTTCTTGTACCACTGGAAGAAAAGGGGAGGGCAATTGGATGCACAATGTGTTGTGTGGGATAATGGGCGAGTTATATCAAGGCAAGGAATGTTCCAATCTCTCGAACTCAAATATTAAACATTTTCTTTCAGTTTTCTAAAGCTCATTTGGCATCCAAAACCATCTTTCCTGTGTTCACAATTGAACACAATCCTTTCCCTCCCTACAACAACAAGGTTACATTTGTATAGTGCCTTTCACGTCAGGAGGACGTCCCAAGGTGCTGGTCAGTGTACAGCATTTCAGACCCGAGCTGGGGTCAGGGAAGGAGAAGGAAGGGGAGGGGAAAGGGGGTGACCAGTGGCATGGTCGAAGAGGAGGGTTTTGAAGCAGGACTTGAAGGAAGCTAAGGAGGGGGTGAGACGGAGTGATTGGGGGATGGAATTCCAGAGGTTGGGGGCAGAGTGGCTGAAGGCTCTCCCGCCAATAGTGGGGCGGGTGGGTCGGGGGTCGTGGAGCAGGGCAGAGCCGGCTGAGCGGAGGAAACGGGCGGGTTGGTAGGAGGTTAGGAGGTCGCAGAGGTAGGGTGGGGCGAGGCCATGGAGGACTTTGTAGGTGAACTGGATCCTCTGAAGGACAGGGAGCCAATGGAGTCGGGCGAGAATGGGGGAGATGGGGTCACGGAGTTTGGTGCAGGAGAGGACACGGGCTGCAGAGTTCTGGATTATCTGCAGCCTGTGGAGGGAGGAGTTGGGAAGGCTGACAAGCAGCGTTTGCATAGTCGAGCCTGGAGGTGATGAAGGTATGACCAAGAGTTTCAGTGGCCTGAGAGGTGAGGTAGTGGCAGAGTCGGGCGATGTTACGGAGGTGAGGGAAGGCAGAGCGGGTCATGGCTTGGATGTGGGGAAGAAAAGACAGTTGAGGATCGAACAAGACACCTGGTTCCTGACTGGCTGGTGAGTTGAAGTGTGCAACCATGGAGGTTGATGTTGTCAGAGCCTGAGGTGCGGAGGCGCTGGCGCGAGCCAATCAGGAGCCTCAGTCTTGTTCACATTCAACTGTAGGAAATTTGCCCTCATCCAGGACTTGATGTCCGACAGACAGTCCGTCAGTCCTGGAGTTGAGGATGAAGCAGAAAGTTGGATGTCATCCGCATACATATGGAAGTTGACCCCATGTGTGCGGATGATGTCACCAAGGAGGGAGCATGTAGATATTAAAGAGGAGAGGGCCAAGGACAGAGCCCTGGGGGACACCAGACGTGACAGTGCGGGGGCTGGAAGAGAAACCGTTAGAGGCAAGAAAGTGGAGACAGTGAGAGAGATAGGAATCGAACCAGGCAAGGGCAGGTTCGTGAAGATTGAGTAAAGTGGAGAGGCCTCTTTTTGTGCTGTACGATTCTATGATTCTATGACATGCTCAGTGCTTGGTAGAAGTGATAGCTAAGAAATCTGTAAAATTAGCTCTACTTTTGAAAGAAACAATGCAACAGTCAGGACCGTGCTGTACACATAAAAATTAAAAAGAAAATTAAGCACTCTCATAAATATATTGGAACAAGCAGAAATCAAATCTGTACACTTGCAGTTTACACAAAAATGTTAGGTAAATATATTTTTAAAAACTCAACTGAGTATTTTTCTTTAAAATGAAAGCAAATTGGCTCTTTGGACAAATGGCTTTTTAAATTCCATCAAGCAGCTCAACATAGACTTAAAGATTAGGCTACTGTGTTGGAAAATGCTTAATTACACTTGGCTGTTTATTATGATTCAGAATCATATTGAATTAGACAACTGATATCTTTTGCTTTAGCAAAACCACCTCGCAAATAAACCATCACACAGGATTACAGACCAAAACTTGGGAGTTAGTTTGCTTTTAAAATCATAATCAAGTTAATTCTTTACCACAGTAAGCTTCAAAGGAGACAATTTATTAGTGAAACCAATTAATCAGGAGTCATTGATAGTACACAAAACCAGTTTAATGATCACAGGAGTGATTCCAAGTCCAGATGGCTATGCAATATATGTAGACATTACAAAAATGATTCCGGAGGTTTTGCTCCTATGGAAGACTAAATCCCTTTGCTTCTAATTAAAGCTCAAGCTGTTCTGAATGTGTCATGAAAAATTTCAATAGATAAATTAGCCTTTAATCTAAAATCACAATGTTGCATGTAAAATGTGAAGTGCCAATGCACAGAGAATATTCTTTTAAGGATAACAAAATTGTGGAGTTCAGATCCGGTTTCAATGACTGAAGCCCAAGTATGGACAAAAAAAGCTTCAAAATTGCAACATTATGCACATACCAATTCTATGTGCAAAAAATGTACTTTTAGAATGACTACTATCAAATAGATTTAGTTACTAAAATAATCTCTGTGGGATGCAGCAAATGCTGATTGTGTACAATATTATAAAACTGTAATTTACTGAATACACAATTAGTATATAATTAAACCAATAGTGACAGCAAAGTTCAAAATAATAATAATAATCCTTGCATTTGATATAGCACCTTATCACGTCATTGAGACATCTCAAAAAGTTTCACAGAATATATTGTAAAGTGGATTGACTGTATTTTTTGGGCAAAACGCACAAAATAAAAGTAACATGAAAATAATAATAATAATAATCCTTGCATTTGATATAGCGCTTTTCACATTTAAAGTTCTAGGATGTATAAAGTTTATGTTCCACATTAAAACTTGCACCTCTACTCTATTTATTTTAATACACTCCACTTTGCGCACCATAGAGTAGAACAGATTCCAAGGTGGATGCACACATGGCTGCAAGATACCAGCAAAACATAACATAAGAATTTGCTAGGCGAAAGAAGACCAAGGTCCATCCAGTTCACCTTCTACCATCCTGGCAGTATCATGTTGTCCCAAACTATATACTGTATCCCGAGATATTATTTCCTAACAGAAATCTATCTAATTTGTTCTTGAAAGAATTGACACGTTATGTTTCCACCGTCTCCCTAAACAAATCTGGTTGTGTGTATGCACGTAAAGTTACTATAGATGTGATTTAGCCATCATTCACAAGTAAATTGTGCCACCAGTACCCCATACACATGTACGAAATGTAGCGTAAGTACACACTGGATTATTTTTGCCAGTAACACAAAGGTAAGCCTTTATACTGGTCTTGTACAATGCATAGTTCAGCAACTGAGGAAGTCATAGAGGCGGAAACTCAGGAGAGAAAGGCAGGCACAGTGCGATACTATCATGACAGTAAGTGATGGAACAATTTTTTTAAAGTTAACATTGCAGCAATTTGTATTTTGCATGATATCCAATTCATTCACACTGTTCACTTAACCACAATGTTCTTTTTCCTGCCTTCCTTTGTAAATTTTCAAGTTGGCATCAGTGAAATGGAGTAAATACTGCAAAAGTCCACAAACAATGGCCAGAGGTGAATTATCACAATGGTATCTCATGTTGAGAATTGCAACATTTCAAAAAACTAATCTTCACGCTCAAATACCAACACAAGTATAAAATGAGCTACAAAACAACCTGATTTTGTGTACGTTTCAAAACTATTAAAATAAACTATCCACTCACCATAATGTGCTTGAAATGCCTGGGGCTTTACAACCTGATTACAATGGTTACACATCACCAAGTAAAAATCATCATGTGCTGGGCAGTGACCAAATATTGGCATATCTGTAAAATTAAAAAAAACGATCAGGGTTAAGCTGAAAGTTTACATTAAAACTACAATGACAGATCACTCACAAGTGGAACTCCAGTGTTAGACACCAAAAACTATTGCATTTCTTTACAATTTACAACTGTAAAGAACCAATACAATACATTCCCTAAATTAATCGCACACATTTTTCTCATTTATCCATTTACTTTAATAGACACCTTAGAAGTGTGAAAATTCTGACCAGTTAGTTTAAAACAGAGAAAATTTTGGAATGATATAGCAGTAAAAAAATTGTTAAACACCTTTCTCAGCATGATAGTCATAAATTTTTGCTTTTTTTAAAATAAAGCTCAATTTAATTCTTGCATTGCCACCTTACTTACTATTCTGATTCCAAAACCCTACTAATATGTTTTGCAGTCATGAAAATAGTTTTTTTTAAAAGGGGAGACAATAATGAGTTTGCCATTTCTCCCTTCCCACCCCAGTCTATTAGCAAGAAAGTCTATACTATCACTGCAAACTACCTGAGGCCATCACAGCAACAATCATGTGATACTATTATCCAGGTCAAACACTACATTCAGTACCTATGGTTCCACACACTACCATCTGAACCTACGAACTGCTTTGCACGTTCCTGTCCCACTTGATACTGAAATATATCATATAAGAGTCGTAAATAACCTAACAGGAGAGGTTGCAATTCAATCAACAGATTCTGATGTAGTTCACAAAATGCTTCAACCTCTCTCTTCCTCTGACAATCGTCAAGTTGTAAATCCCTCAAGAAAATCTTACATCCTTCCAGCTATTTCAAAGACGTACAGGCATTGTGCATTGCAGGAGCAGAGACATTTACCGGACTGCTGATCTGATTTAAAAATACCTTTAGAATTACACAAGTGATAGAAGTAACAAAATCGCACATACATCAAAAGTACATTAATGTATGCTTTTTATAGGCCGCACACTCAGTGACAATGTAAACCACCGACTAAAGCATTGGTCCAGTAATAATTTGTTCCTTTTAATATGTTCACACATTGGTGCATACACAAAAGATTGTTTAATGAGCTAAATAAAATGTTAAGAATTTATCCTACTGAATTCCAGCAGAACACATATGATGCTTTGGATCGGTATGATTAAGAGGCACAATAATTACACTGTATGCATATTTAGCCTACATAAAAAACTGTTTATTAATCCCCTTGAGACATTTTGATGTGATGAAGTGCTATATTAAATACAAATATTGTATTATTTATAGCACAAATAGTATGGCATTAGCATCTTTATAGCATCTCTAAGTAAAAAATGTCTCAAATACTGTTCCAACTGACACATAAGATCATTAACATCATCCTTCTAAAATACTTGGGCTCTTGTTCCCACCGATACCGTATTTATTATACAATTCTCCCACACATCTTAAAATTACTGCATTCAAAGTGCACACACATTTCAAACAATGCAAGCCTAGATAGATTGCATTAACCTAAACTAATAAAGAGGAAGTGTCTGTCTGTGTGTCAGTGTATCCAACAATCAAGCAATAACCAACTGACGTGGAGACATGATTTATATCTCTTCGGAAAGGTCTTGCATCTGGCGGTGTTGTGGCCATTTTTTTTTGGGGGGGGAATCTCTTATTGTTGATGAGCTATATTAAAAAATGCTTTAATTAAGCCCCAATATATTAGGTATGCATCGTATTTTGCAACTACGTAGCGACAGAGGAAAGCACACACTGATCAGAGAGATACATCTATACTTTTTTCTGTTTTTCATGAGAGCTAGAGTTCTCCCATGGGGGACAGATAGAGAGATAAAGATTGAGAGAGAGAGAGAGAGAGAGAGAGAGAAACAGAGAGACTGAGAGAAAGAGACAGAGACGGGGAGACAGAGAAACTGAGAGAGAGACAGAGAGAGAGAGAGACTGAAAGAAAGACAGAGAGAGAGAGAGAGAGAGAGAGAGAAATAGACTGAGAGAGAGAGACAGAGAGACTGAAAGAGAGAGACTGAAAGAAATTATACTAAAGGAGTCCTCCCACTGAGCCCTCCCAAAAGGAGTTCTCCCAGCTGAGTATAATGTATAAACAAAATGTCAGTCTGTGTGTCAATCTGCATTCCATATTGGATCATTTGGTTGCAAGGGAAGCTGCAACAGGTACAGCTAGTAATAAATAATAATAATCCTTGCATTTGGTATAGCACCTTATCACTTTTGAAAGGACGTCTTAAAAGCACTTCACAAGAATAACTGTGAAATGGGTAAACACAGCAGCACAATGGGCACAGCAATGTTCCACAACAGCCATGAAACAAATAACCATTTGTATTGAAGGGATTGTTGGCTAGGACACCGGGAGAAACTCCCTTCTCTTTTTGAATAGTGCCACAGGACCTTTAACGTTCACCTGAACAGGCAGGTGGGACCTCAGTTTGACGACTCCTCTGACAATGCAACTACACCCCCAGCATTGCATTGCAGAGTGTCAGCTTAGACTATGTCAGCCCAAGTTCCGACACAGGGCTTGATCCATAATCTTCCGATCTAGAAGTGAGAGTGCCTTCACTAGGCCAGGGTGACACGTATGGCAAAAAGAAAAAAATAAGTGGTATCTGATCAGACAGCACACAAAAACACATTTCAAAATAATTTGCTTTCCTATAATTTCTTAATTCATTTTATATAACTGAGCTCATGTAATTTTTTTTGTAGGTTAGAACATGATGGCTAAGTATTTACATTCAAAAAACATCTATGAGCTGTTATCAATGGAACTGTACAGACAACTAAATGTAATTAGCCTTAACCAAGGAGTTGACCTTTTAATCGCTGAAAACATGCTGTACATAAATTTCCCCTTTTTTTTCATTATAAGAAAATTTCTCCCTTTTTTATTATAAGAATCCTTGCATTTGATATAGCGCCTTATCACGTCATTGAGACATCTCACAGCGCTTCACAGAATATATTGTAAAGTGAATTGACTGTATTTTGTGGGTTAAACACGGCAGCCAATTGTTCACAGCAGTGTCCCACAAACAGTAGTGGATTAAGTGACCAATTGAGGAACGTAGGAACAGGAGTAGCCATTCAGCCCCTCGAGCCTGTTTCACCATTCTATTAGATCACAGCTGATCTGTAAAAAAAACTAACTCCAAACACCTGCCTTTGCCACATACACCCTGACCTAATAAAAAAATCTATCCATCTGAGTCTTGAAAATTTGAATAGATCCAACATCCACAGCCTTTTGGGGGTAAGAGTTTCAAATTTCCACTACCCTTTGCTTGAAATTGTTATACATATATTTTGGAGGATTATTACACCCAGGAAAGTGATCTGCCAATTGGGTTCCTACTTAATGCTAGGTAAACAGAGACGTAGGAAACTTGTCTAAGGTTTTGCCCTGCCTGGGAATAATAATAATAATAATCCTTGCATTTGATATAGCGCTTTTCACGTCTTCGTGACCTCTCAAAGCGCTTCACAGAAGACTGCAAAGTGAATTGACCGTATATATTTGTGGGCGAAATGCAGCAGCCAAATGCGCACAGCAGTGTCCCACAAACAGTCGTGGATTGAAAATGACCAATTTATTATTGTTTTGGAGGGATTATTATTAGGCTCTGTGTGGAGTAAGGAAACTTGCCCAAGTTTTCGCCCTGCCTGGAATTGAACCCAGGTATCTCGCTTGCAAAGCAAGTGCTCTAACCACTGAGCTACAGGACTCTAAACCTGGGTATCGAACCTGGGTATATCTATTTTCTTCTGTACTATATATATGGGCATATTTGATTTGGGGTATCTCCTATCGTTCATGAGTTATCTTCAGTTTTGCGCTTTTCTCTACAGTTACACCTAGTGGCCGTCGAGTCAAAGTGGTGCTGTGGCATCATGCATATATATTTATTATTATCATTGTTATATATACTAATAAAACAATGTCTGTCTGCGCTTCAAAAAGGATCTCAAAAACCGATTGAAGTAGAGACATGATTTGTACCTTATCGGAAAGGTCTTGCACCTTGGAGTGACATGGGCATATTTGATTTTGGTTATCTCCTATCGTTCATGAGTTATTTTCAATTTTGCATTTTTCTCTGCAGTTACACCTGGCGACGGGACGGCTGACTGGCATCCTGCGTCACAGAGCACGCACGTAGGCAAGCGACGGGAACAAAATAAAGAATACAGGCAAAGCTAAGGCAACAACAAAATTACATTTTTAAAGCGCCGAGTCCTCCCACAGGAGTCCTCCCACAGTAGTATAGATAAAGATGAAATATGTGTCTATCTGTGTGTCTATTTATTGGATCCTTTGATTGCAAGCGTAGCTACAACAGGTACAGTTAGTATTTTATATTTACATATATTATACATGTCTCATTTACTATACTTTTTGTAATACAGTAGTTCATATTATCTTGTGTACCTCTCGTACTCAATTGTTCCTCTTCGCTGGTCTGCAACATTTGCGGGTTTTATTAAAATGGGTTTAAAACGGTTTGGTATACATGTACACACACAGTAGCAATACTGAAATGTGGAACACTGACTGAGAATAATACTGTTTAAGGTACCCACTTATAACAGATTATCAGAAGGAATGCACATTGTGATATTGTGTTAGAAACTTTGGAAACATGCAGAGAACATTCTGTTCCTGCACTTTCTGATTTATAAAAATAAGGACCACGTAACACAGAAAATACTTAAGGCTGATGTACTGAATGAATACTTTGGATCTGTCTTCACAAAAGAAGTGGATGCACCAAATGCCATAGTATCGGAGGAGAGGGTAGAGGAAATGGATAGGATAAGTATAAACTAGAGGAAGTACTGAAAAGGTTGACTGGGCTGAAGGCCGGACGGGATGCAGCCAAGGGTACTATGGGAGGCACGGGTACAAATAGCAGAGGCTTTGTCTACAATTTTTCAATCTTTGTTGGACACAGGGGTGGCTAATGTGACTCCTCTGTACAAAAAGGGACAGAA